TCTCCGGAGCCGCCCGCGGGTCCGTCTTCCTCCAGGAGCCCGGCCGGTGCGTCCAGTGAGCAGGGGACGTGCAAGATTGTCCTCCAGGTGCATTGTTTCCAAAAGGTCATAACGAAGGTCAACCCGGAATGCATGTTGGCGTGACCGTCATTATTAACAACTTCCGGGGTGGTTTTTAAATGTATTCTCGTTGAGCCCGGCGGCCTGGCGCAGGGGTTGAACGGCCATCTGTGACCTGGAAGGTCCCGGTCCGATTCCCCGTCAGGGCACTTGCCCGGGTTGTGGGTCCGACCCCTGGTGTGGGGCATCCAGGAGGCAGCTGATCCATGATTCTCTCTCCTCCTTGATGTTTCTCTTTCCCTCTCCTTTCCTCTCTCTGAAATCAATAAAAAATATATTCTGTTTTTATCTTTTTAATATATTTTTATTAATTTCAGAGAGGGAGAGAGAGAAACATCAATGCTTAGAGAATTATAAAGCAGCTCCCCCCTGCACCCCCCACACTGGGCATCGAGCCCGAAACCCGGGCCTGTGCCCTGACCCAGAATCGAACGGCGACCTCCTGGTCCCTAGGTCGAGGCTCAGCCACTGAGCCACACAGGTCAGGCTTAATAACTTGTTTTTACACCAGATTTTCGCATCGTGTCCTCGAGGTGGCTCTGTGGGGACAGCCCGGGCACCCCTGGTGCTCTGAATTCCTAGGCAGGCTCCTCTGAAGTGTCTTAACCAACTTTGCATTGAACGTGGTTCTTTTAAAAGGTCTTATGTTAAATGAAAAGAGCAAGATAAGAAACTGTAGATAGAATAACCAATTAGATTTTTTTAAAAGATGGACAACTTGGAGATATTTTCTGACATGAACATATTTTTTTTTAAACACAGCAAACATTCTCTGCTATTCACCTAAGGAGATATTTTCTGACATGAACATATTTTTTTAAACACAGCAAACATTCTCTGTTATTCACCTAAGAAAGAATAGATTTTGTTGCCTTCAGATATTACAATAAAATGGTTCTTTAACACCCAATTTATATGACTTTTGAGAGCTAGCTCTGGTTAAAAAATAAGTGAATTCTGATGAGAACTGAAGTGCAATATTGAGGAAAGGAAACGGATGGGAATAATAAAACTCAAAGATGTGAACATCAAGTGAAAAGGACGAACACAGACCAGGCAGCACGTGCTCCTTGATGTGGGTCCCCAGAAACTGAAGCCAGTCCATGCTATTGTCTGGTTCTGCCTGGTGGGAAGCCTTAAATTGGGGGTGGTAATAAATTGCAACATAGAAAAAGACAGATGAAACTCATTGAGCTGTTAAATAGGCTTTAAGTGAGCACCTACTGTATGCCAGGCGCTATGCCAAGGGCTACAAGTGAAATTAGCCCATCTCTCAAGGAGCCGTCTAGTGAAAAGCGTGGCGGTGGCCAAAACCTTAAGATTCCTGTCTCAAAAGACTCACTGGAAAGCTTACACACAGTTTCTCCAAATCCCATGTAATAAGGAAGAACAAGAGTTTCCTCAAAAGTGTCTCACAGTTTGGAAGCAAACTTTACAGGTCAGACGCTTCACACTTTAGAAAGAGGCACTAAATCCTCCAAAGCAATGCAGATTAAGAGAACTGATATATTAGACGTTTTCCGCAGTATCTCCACGTCATCCAAGTAATTGATCACCTTTGCAAGATGTGAGGCAACCAACTCATTTTGGAAACGTGAAAAGAAAAACAAGTTTGATAACGTGATTGGGGGTAATAAGACTGTTGAGGCCAAATTCTTCCCGAGACGAATTCCAGCTGGTAAACAAAAATCCCCACTCTGTGTCCTCTAGGCCAGGGGTCAGGAAACGAGGGTCCTGGGGACAAACCCAGCCGCTGCTGCTGCTGCTGTGAATTGGAAGACAGCCACGCATCTGTTTACATGTGCTGTCGGCTGCACTCGCACCATATGTTCAGTAGTAATTGTTCACAGACGCTAAATGGCCACAAGGCCTAAAATATTTACGACTGCGCCCTTTACAGACAACGCTTGCCAATGTTTGCTGTAGGCCAGGAAAATCATGGCTAGTGACCCGCCTCTCCCAAACTGTGAACGCACCATGGAGACTCGCAGGGACACCAGAACATTTTAAATTTTTGAGAAAAACACAGCAACCTCTGCCAGACACCATGTGAACTCCCAGCCTGAGGTAACGCCCACTTTCAACATTAGGTCACGTCCGTGCGTTGGGAGAACATCATACTCTGCAAAGCTGAGTGCTCGGCAGTTGCTGTGACCCCAAGCCAGTGTGCAAAATCCACCGTGGGCCAGGAAATGGGGGTGGTGGTGTCCCATCTGATTTGAGGAAGTTGTGCAGGGCCCACATGCGTATGCATCCCATTAGTAAGCAATTGTGGTTAAGAATGAAATAAAATATTTTTCTTTCAATTTATATATGTTTTTAAATGGCTACTAAGTTGTTAGGACCAAAGCACATACTACTTTGTTTGGACTTAACTACTCACTAAGTAGACAGAAACTAAGGGCACCGAGAAAAAGTTACTCAGACATGGAGGGTGGCATGAACCTGATCTAGCAGGTGATCATCAAGGTCTGGTGAAAAGCTGGAGAGAGGAACTTAGGAAGAAGCAGTATCTGAGCCCACCGAACAGTCTTAATATCATCAGTGAAAGACCTGTGCTTCCTGGTGTGGTGGGAAGTACAAGACACCACCCGTGGAGGCTTGATTTAAAACACCAGGTGTGCCCGGCCGGCGTGGCTCAGTGGTTGAGTGTAGACCTGTGAACCAGGATCACAAATCGATTCCCTATCAGGGCACGTGCCTGGGGTTGTGGGCTCGATCCCCAGTGTGGGGCGTGCAGGAGGCAGCTGATCCATGATTCTCTCATCATTAATGTTTCTATCTCTCTCTCCCTCTCCCTTCCTCTCTGAAATCAATAAAAATATATTTAAAAACACACACATCAAGTTTGAGTATGATCCAGGTTTTAAAGTTGACTACCAGTCTACTCATCTATAAAGTCTGCATTCTTTGTTGTGTGGCACTGAAGTCTCTGTCCCAGTAGCTTAGTGGTCAGCTAGTGATTTAACAGGGATGTATTTATTAAATGCCTGGAAGCAAAACATGAAAAATTTTAAAAAGAATCCAAAATGCAAACAAACTCTCCCAGTCTTTGCCAATTAGCCATGTATTGGGGCGCTCCTTCAACGCTTAGTCAAACAGTGTGCAACTTGCCTTGGCCTTCACTTCCTGCTTGCAGAGCCAGGTCAGCCAGAGGTGAGAGCTTAGGGCCTTCGCAGGTGTGTTCTGAGCAGGTGTCCAGAACAGTGCAGGCGTGAGGCCTTGATTTCCCAGGGTAAGAGGGAGCATTTCCAAACCCTGTTCCTCCAGGTGCCTGCTTCCCCAGTCTCTCCCTTCCTGGGTTTTCTGGTCTGTTTATCGCTTTCTGGGGCTGTGAAACTTCACCCCAGTGGCAGTGTGAGACATTTCCTGTAAGACTTTCCACAAACACAGCCTGGGAAGCTACGCTGGGGTGGCTCTGAGGCCGGCAAAACAAAGGCAAGCCCTTCAGCCAGACCTTCAGGGAACTGCCAGGTAGGTCAACACACACTATTAAGTTTCTTGAGAATTAAGTCCATATTGCTCCCTTTGGTATCGGCAACCCACACCAAGAATATGGGTTGCTGTATTCAAGGCCACTTCCAAGATGGGAGTGTAGATGATCACAACTCTCTAACCAAACTTCACCAGTCTTCCCTACATTCCAGTGTTTGTTTTTGACTCCAACAGTTTCTCCAGTTCATTTGTTGCTTTCACAGAGGGACAGTTCTCAAGTTCCCCACTCGGCTATTTTCGCTGATGTCATTCCATACCACTTACTTGGTGCGTCTCAGCCCTGCCTAAAATTATTTTCTCAGCATGGAATGCAGAGAAAGAGGAAAATTTTGCTATCACTGAAGCCATCCTAAAAATGTACTGATTTGAAGGCAGGTCAAAGAGCTGTTGCAGAAGTTTTTGAGCAAGGATAGCATCAGCAAAATAACTTTCATCTGTCTTCAAGTAATTACAGGTGCTCCTCAACTTACAGTGGGGTTATGCCCCAGTAAACCCATGGTTTAAGTTGAAATGTCCTGTTCATGAAAAATGCATTTAACACACCTAACCTGCCGAACATCGCAGTTCAGACTGGCCCCCTTCAGTGTATGTGCTCAGGCCGCTGACAGTAACCTGCAGTGGGCACAGCCACCTACCGGGATGAATTCGCTGTAGGGTATTGGTGACGTACCCCCACTGGTCACACTGCTACTGGGACCTGCAGCGCGAGAGGGTATCACTAGCCTGGAAAAGATCACAATTCAAAGTACAGTTTCTACTGAATGCGCACCACTCCCACACCATCGTGAAGTCAAAACATCGCATCTCATTCCGTTGCAAGTCGAGAGGGTCAATCTCCACCATGTCACGTCCCATGCAGTTTGCCACGCCTTCCATGGCGGAGGCCCCGCCAGCTGTTGTTCGAGCACACGCTTTGGAACGCCGCCTCGGCTGGAATTCCAGCTTATCTGCCACCTCATAGTTTCTGGCCTCGGGCAGGTCATCCATTCTCTAGGGCCGGTTCCTTATCGGTAACTCAGGGACAGTAGCCGTTTCTGGAGTCCAGCTACCATTAGCTGTTTATGACAGGGGGACTCATGCATTCGGCTGATCACGTGACAGTGCAGGTGCTGCCATGCGCTCTTCAAGGACGCGCCTGGAGCTGCCTTTCCCAGCAAGCGCACTGATTTATGGGGCGCACCGACTTACTGGGGCGCACGTTTACGTGAGCGGCTTTGGAGAAACGGTAGGGATGGCAGGAGGGCGCTCAAAGCCTCCCAAGCCCCTCTTCAGCCGAGATTAATGTGTCCACACACTTAAAAGTGGGGGGGGGGGGGGAAGCTCAGTGTCTAGACCTGGGATGAAGGGTGCCAACCAGACAGTTCTCCTCCAGCCAGCTTCCCTGGGCGTCCGTGGCTCACGCCCTGCCCAGCGCAGGGACCGCCACCAGCAAAGCCCGAGGGGCAGAGCACGGGCGGTCCCCCTCGATGGAGATGCCGCAGCAGCCCTTTCCCACGAGGCCTCCGGGCTGTGAGGACTGCAGGCGACGCCTCCCTCCTCCTGGGCCTCTGGGAGTTGTAGTTCGCAGCTGCGGCCCAGCGCTCTCAGAACTCCATTCCCCGCCGGCCCCCGCGGTCAGGCTGTGGCCCCTTCCTGCCGGGGTACAGGAAACCGGGCTGCCCCGAGTTCCTAGGTTTGGGGAAGGTTCCCACCTTGGCCCCTGAGCTCTGGAGGCGGAGGGCCTGGCCTGCTCAGGTAGAGCATCTTCCCTCATCTTGCAGCCCGCCTGTCGGGAGGGAGCGGAGGGGAAGCGGCGGAACGGCTGAGTCGGCGGAACGGCTGAGCTGG